GATCGATAGGAGGGAGTGCAAAGAACTTACCCAGATCCTCGCTGATACCCAGTCTATAGAAATAGTCCTTCACATCTTCTTGAGCAATGAACAAATCTTCATCGTTTTCCAGCTCCAGTCGGGACCAACTATCAATGCTACCCAAAATGGTCGAGGGTGGCGTTCGGAACAACTTGTTCGACCTTCGTGCATCGACAATTAGTCGTTGCTTGCCCCCCTTCTTAGTAACAAAGAAAAGACCAACTTGAACACGAGGTTGTTGAGTAAATCCAAGCAGTTCACATTCATAGAGGTCTGCAATGAGTTGGTGATATCTCTCCCCATCATTTGCCAGCAACGGGTCCATATAGCAATCATTGTGGCCGATGCCCTCTTGCGCGGCACCCATCTCTTCAGGTGAAAGTAACATCTCACTCTCAAAATGGTTCAGCTGATCTCGCTCCTTTTTTGGCAAAATATCTGCGAGCGAAGTTGGAGGACGTTGCCCACGAGGAAGTGAAAGACGATCCCTCATGTAGCTCGTGAGTTGCCCAGGACTCTCTGGCACTGGAATGCCATACTGTGCTGAGCCCTTACTCTTGAGAAGCTGCTGAAGCGCTCCTCCACAACTCTCATGCATGACTGGGGGTGGTCTCTGGCTATGTGCTTGCCGGATCCGCCCCAAGGCTGCCTTCTGCGCTGAATTCATAGGAGCGGCAGGGTATTCATCTGGATTGCCAAATCCCCCAAGGCTATTGAGGGCTCGAACCGTTCCCTCCATCGCCTCGAGCATTCTCCGCCTGGTTGAAACGCGAAGCTGTGACCTTCTAGACGAACATTCCTTTGGACTCCCTGTAAAATGAGTCTCCCTCGGTAAGGGGAGAGGCAGCAAATCCCCAAACCGATGGTGAGCATTGGAAAACTTCTTGGTGCCAGAAAAAAGCTCAGGCGGTGGCTCGACACCAGGGGCCACAACCCGCTCCGTCTCCTCAGGGGTTCTGTGGGGCCTCACTGCCCCCTTGACTCTTGTTCTTGCCCTTCCCTTTCTTGTGGTCCGGGTCCCTGACGTCTTCATTCTTTCTGAGGTGCTTCTTCTCTTCCTGTGCCAGACGTGTCTGCTTCATGATCTCGGCCCTGGTGGCGGCCTTGCGGGCTGCATACTGGGTGAGCGCCGGGTCGATCAAGCTGCCGTCCAAGGACTCCCTGATGCCCATGATGTCCTCCGCCGACTCGTATGAAGGAGCATCAGGGCGGCCCTGATGTGCCTGCTCGATCAGTGTTCTCCGGCGGTTGAGTGCTTCGGCAGACGCCAACGCCCCGACGTTTAGCTGGTCGTAGCAAACCATCAGGTTGAGGACTCGGCAAATGGTGGCATGCTCGAACACAGATCTGTCCGATGATCTCACGCCAGATTTCTTTGTCCAACTCTCGTGATGCTGGACGAAATCGAAGCCAAGCCGTCGCAATTGACGAACATCATGACAGAGGGTGCGAGGACCTTGAAGGGGAAAGTCATCATACTCAACCTCCTCCAGTTCCCCAGCAGCCTCTGGGATGGTCCGCCAGCGCTCATCGGCATTGTCAAAAAGCACTGGCAGCACTCTCACATCTCTCTCGCCGAACCCTGCAGCGGCATCACCCCGGTGCAGCAAACCCTGCATCCGGCTGACATCTCCAGGTGCAACTCGCTGAACAAGGAACTCTTCCCCATTGGCCGAGAAAAGGTTGAAAATCTTCCCGTTTACCACACGCCCCGTGGAGTCAGCCGGGGGGGTCAACTCTTCTCCCAATGGCCCACCAGAAGAGCGGTAGACCACCAGATTCATGCCCTGCTCATCGTCAAGCACCCTGTCATCCCCATGGCCGGTTTCCTCGGCAGGCCTACGGACTGCAGGCCTGGCCAGGTCGTCAACCACTTCACCGGATTTGGAAACCTTTCCAGAGACACGACGCCGCTCAACACGAGCTGCAGCATGTCGTTGGCCGAGAGCGATAAGCCTTCTGAACTCATCGTTTCCTATACTTCCCTGGTCAGAATGCTTCGGCAAATAGGTGTCCCTTTCTCTCACACCCGCAGGCAACCTGGAACGATCGTATCTAAGGATCTCGGTGTATATATTACCTACTTGAAGAACAGTAATTTCGATATCTCTGTCCGGGGTAGCAACAACGACCTGGTCCCCTCCAACTGCATGCAGAATGCCACGCCAATGCAAAAGCTGCGGGTCATCCGCGAAGCGTACGAGCACGGCGTCTTGCTGCAACCACTTCGCCATCTTCTTCAAAATCGTCAAATGGATCACAGCGGTCTAGGGACTTCTCTCTTACCACAGTCTCTATGGAGATAGGATTGCCCACCACAATGGCTGGCACCCTACGGTGGCAATGAACGAGGCCCCACAAAAGAACTGCAGCGAGAAAGCCGAGCACCCAGCAAACCGCCCCAGTCCAGAAGCAGCTCTTGTCCTCACACAAGTTCAATGCCGCCTCCGACACGGCCTTCTCCTTTTCGCAGGCGAGTCGCTGAGTGAAATGCTCAAGGCAGCGGCTGCCCAGCTCGGAGAACTCCACGCTAAAAGCAGCTGAGTCTGAACACTTTGACCTCCCCCTCTCGGCAAACCAGAACAGTAGGAGCTTAGCAGAATCCACAATGATGCTGCGCCCCAGCTCAAACCAGTCGACCATCCATAGGGGGACACCAATCACAAACTACCCTGAGAAGATCTTGAGATTTAAAAGCCACCAGAAACTCAAGATGATCGGCAAAACAGTCTTCGACTAATATGCAAATGCATTCTTAACTGCGTGGCAGTCGCGTCCTTCTCCATTCCCAAGGCCATAAAGCTCATACTCTGAGATTCTCCGGCAACCACTTTGCAACCAAACCTTCCATCAGTGGGTGATAATCTGGGCCTTTGGGCTAGTACGAGCCCCCACCCGCTTGCATGCAGCTCCCCCCCCCCACGGTCAGGGTCCATGATTAGTTAGAGAGTGTAACAACTGGAAGGCAACATTCGCATCATCCCCTTTGCAACATTGGCATCATCACTGTTTTTGAGACCACGGAATTTGTGGACGTGGCTTGCTCTTTTTGATATTTGCTTGCATGCTGTGCTGTTTCTGACACTATGTTTGTGTTGCGGTATACGTCTGTATTATTGGTGGCGATTGCGGGTGTATCTGTATGTGTGTGTGTGTGTTTTGTAAACAAACCACAAGTGTGTTCAACATGCTGCCCTAACTCGACACGACTTGAATCTGGATGCTTCAGGGATAGTTGCCAGGGTTTCCTTCCAGGTTGGTTTGCGTTGGGCGTCCAAACCTCCCGCCTCGCGCGAGTGGATACCTGCCCGGGGAGGCGAGAGCCACAGAGCCAAACAGCCAGAGAGCCCAAGAGCCAACATACCCACAAGCCTAGCGAGAAACTGCCAACGGTATTTGGCCACTTTCACTTGCACCTCCGCTTCTTCATTTCGCCCTTGGAGGAAACAGCAGCCCAGCTCTCTTGATCAAACTTCACGGATCGTTCTCGTCGACCGTACTGCACAAACAAGGTAACATCCCGGTAGCATGATATCGAGATATGGCCATGGGTCAAAAGCCCGTACCCCCAGTGAACATCCCAATCCACACTAAAATAGACTAAAATGGGTGGTGCACCTATCCCAAAATGGTACCATTGGTTTTGACCCACAGCCATATGTCATCTTGTCTCTTGCGGAAGGTCTCACGCCCTTCAGGCAGGGGCGATCTCCAGAATTGGGCGATTCTACGGATGTGTCTTCGTTGACTGCTCCCTTTTTGGGGGTGGCTCCAAAGGCCAAGCAAAAGGAAGCCAACCATGATTTCGAGTCCCTTTAGAGTCCGCGGGGTTGCTTGCAAATTCTCAACCATCGTTCTTGTCCGATACCAGCCGATTGGATTTGGGCGGCGTGGATCCTTGACAGGAAAAAGAACAGGTACCCTCCCACCAATGAACATGGAACCTGACAGAAGGTCCCTGTAAAAAGGAAAATTGTCTTCCAGGACTCCCCTGTGAGGTTCCATGTTAGTTGTTGGGAGGGCAGCCCTAAAGACTTGCCCATAGTCTCATGTACGTGAAAAGGCCACGGGCCCATCTGTGAGGCGCCGCAGGAAACTGGAGCCTGTTATCCCGTTGCCCAATGACCCTGGTCACAGAAAAGAACACTTTTGGAGCTGATTTGGTCGGGCAACACACCAAACCACAAAGGCGAAAAGGCAAACCCTGCTCCCTCACTGCAGCAAACTTGAACAAACCAACAGCGAGCAAAAAAAAACAACTCCTTCCCAGTTCGCCACAAAACACGGGTAGAAAAAGAGTGGACGCCCTTTTGGTTTTGGGGGGGGGTGGGACCATGCTTGGTGGAAACCCACCTAAAAAGGGGAAAAGCGCGCAACGGAACCACTGGGAAGGCGTTCTCCGGTGAACCAATGGAATGGGCCAATGGGCGACTCCTTGCCTATGCTTCCATCTCGAGCTTCTGGACACCCAAACCAGTCAAACGGCAACAGGTGAGAAGTGGACGATACTCTTGCTACCTGTTCCGTGCTTCAAACTGCCCTTTTGACGCGGTCTCTCAGTTTCCCTGTTTGGGACCTTCCAAGGTGACAATGTTGGATTCCCAGCAAAATGTTGTGCAAGTTGGTGTATGCCGCGCGTTGCTTCGTGTTCCTTGCAGTTGTCGTGAATGCCGGCATGGCCGAAGATCATGCGGGACATCTCACAGAAGGCAATGTCGCTCACTATGGCTCAAACACATTCCACGTGAATTGTAATCTGTAGCCGACCTGAAACAAAGGACCTCCGATTGGGTAAGGTTGGATCCCCCCGAAGTCACTGCAATTCGCACAAATAGCCCAACATAAGAGCTAAGACACATTGCACACATGAGTCTCTTCTCATCTTTACATTTGGTTTTAACATGCCCCACACCATACTTGTTTCGGCAATTATATTATTATATACCACCTCCTTCTCTCGTGACACCCAAAGCCCCAACCTCGCCTGGTGGGCATCCAATACAACCTCAGCCCGTCAGAGTGCAAGGCTGACCGTGTGGGACTTAACTAGGTCCTCCAGTAGAGAGGTTAGAATAAAGGTACCTCTTTTCTTTCTGCAGTCTATTCTAGTAGGGGAACCCTCCTGCAAAAAGGGTTAAAGGATGCAAAAAGGCACTACTGGGGGACCTAGTTGAGTATCCTGCAACATTGCTAAATCACCAAATGCATGCTGGGGCAGGTTGCGTGGGCCACGCCTGAAGATGGCCACGCCCTGTCCCTGCAAGGGCCCGTCGTCACCCTGTGTTGTTTTGTTTGCTGTTTGGGGTCGAGGCTGGGGTAATTTGATTTGTTTTATGTTCAGCCACCAATGACATGACAAGCAACACGTATCTCAACTCTACCTCAGGACATGCCTGCTCAATCAGCCGCAAAATCACCCTCCTAGCCAATGTTCAATTTTGTCAGGAAACCAACAGGGGTTTAGCAACTTATATTCTTTACACCCCCTATTCTCGGGGCAAAGACCCGCCCATGACCCTCCAATGTATCCACAAAAAGGCCTCAAAGCCTTAAGGTAAAGGAAACCCTACTGAGGCCTTTCTGGCGGTGCCATGCGCCAATTAGGAGCCCCATGCTCCACTGCTGGAATACAGAGACGGGGAGAAGTTGACAGACCAAGCTAGCTTCCCAGTGGTTTGAAGGTTAGGGACGATCCCCCATTTGTCCTCTACACAAGCCAGGGATCGAATTTCCCAAAACCACCAATCCAAACCAACTGGGGGATACCTGACCAATCGTGTGCATCAACTTGGCCATCTGCAAGAACAAGGCATGCTCAGTCCACTGCTCTGAAGCATTGTGTGCTTGCTATGAGGACCCGAACGAAAGGGTCGAGTTCTTCCCATCCCTTCCGCAAACAGGTTGACCTTGGTCGAAAGCAAGCATCGTTTTGACCAGCAAACTATGGGTAAGGGTGCTTTTTCTCAGGGTACTTACTTGTTTCAGCTCGCTTGAAAGGACAACCACAAGGAACGCCGCCATTTGGATTCCCCTATTTTGGCACACAACCATATAGGCACAATGAGTTCAGGCTTGTTTCCAAGTGGCATAGTCCTCCCAAAGAGTAAGAATCAAATGCGGCTTGAGCCTGCCCATATGGGTGTGAAATTTCTTTTGAGGGTACCCTTTCTGAAAAAAAAACATTGAGTAAGTCAACTTGATAACCAAAGTTGTAAATCCGTACAAGAAGTTCTGAGTGGTGGAGCTTCAATGCGCGAAGTGAGTTGCCACAAAGGCCCTTTCCGTGCAACTGTTGGAATGTTCGAGAAAAAACGAGCCGAATGTTCGAAAAAAAACCAGCAGGAATCTGTCAAATGAATGGACCATGATCGGAAACACCGCACCCTGCAAGAGGTACAAGAGAGGGTCCCAATTGTTCCATTAAATATTCGCCACGAAAGGGAAAGGGGGGGCGATAAATGGAATTGTGGCAATAACTCCAGTCCCCAAATTCAATTCTAAAGTTTGGGTGAGTTACAATCATTCACGAACCAGAAAATCAGGGAGCCGTTCGCAACAGACAGTCACGAACGGATGGGATGGTACAAAGGGTTCGCCGCCAAACCCTCGCGAATAGCCCAAAAAGTAAACCCAAATAAGAAGTGCATAAATCAGTACGGCCTAATTGTCACATGTTTGGGCGTCGGGGTCTGGTCTAGGAATCTGTGGAAAACAATGTCCCCACAAATAAGATATGGAACGTGGGCAAATTAGCAAACCAGGTCCGGTTTGGGACCCCTCCTCTGCTTGAAAAGCACCAATGTTCCTTTCAAAGAGGTGATCAATAAACAATGTCCCACCCCCCCTGACCCCCTGGTATGTCACCAAAAAACAACACCTTGCTCTTTGCAGCAAAACGAGAAGCAACTGCGCACACGCAGTGTGATTCCAGATGCCCAGTGGCCATAAGCAAAAGGAAATGAGTGCCTATGTCTTGGTAGTTTAATATATACTTCAGCCGCTTGAAGCCACCCAAAAGGCAAAACAGCGGACACTGGACTTGGCCCTCAGATCCCCTGCTCAAAGTTTAACTTTTGGTGAGTATGGAAACCATAACTAATACTAAACCCTAAACAAAAACGGACTCGGATGGCTGGGAGCCAAGTGGAGACGATCAGTGCGTCTTTCCTGCGCCAAGGAGCTGAGCGGCTGAAAGGCAAGAATGCCAACAGCGCCAACGTCATTGCAGCGGATATCATAGCGGGTGGCTATGGCTTCCTATGAGCACCGTGTTTTGCTTGTTTACTTGCGTGTCCAGTTGAGAACAAGCGTCCTTTCTGAAGTTATCGCAGGTGACGCTGATTTCCACCGGATATCGGCCCAAAGGAAAGTCAATGAACATTGGCTCAAACCATTTGAGGGGTCCCTAGTCTTAACACATGCCCGTAGCTGAATAGGTTCTTCACAGCGCCAACCGGTTCTCTCAAAGTCCATGCTCTTGGAACAGCGCCACGAAGCTTCTCTTGAGCTCCCCATGGCCACAAAAGCGCATGCGCCAAGCCGCAACGGCCATCGGCCGAGACTGCACAAACAATAGCCTTGTAAGGCCTTGTAAAGACTCTGACAAAAACATGGCCTCAACACGCGCCTGCCAGAGGGCTTCCTATATTTCCACCAGAATTGAACATCAATGATTTTTTGTCCCAAACTCTTTTGGGGAAACCAATGTAAAATCTAGAGGCCACCACTGATTAGTACGGTCCTCTGGATAAATCCCGAATCAGCATTGCTATAGTGGTAGCTGGGATCCAGTGGGAAGGTGACGTCCAAAACAACAAAAGGAGAAGCACGGGGAGCACTGTGACGGCTTGAATCAGTGGGCCTCAACACTGGCCCATCACGTTTGAGCAAAACATCCAAACATCCTGAGCAATGGCTTGTTCAATGACTGGTTCTTTGCTTGCTTTCTTGCTTGCAGAAATGAATTTCCCTTTGCTTCGTCCAGGCCATCGTTTTGCTTGGATTGTATCTGTTCGATTGAGCTCTTGGTTGCACTTGTTTTGAACACGCGTGCGCGGACAAAAGGACCTGGTCCCCCGCACCAAAGACGAAAGAGCACATGCCCCTTTTGCCAGACTGTCCTGGTATGGGTTTGGTCTGTCAAAATCCGCACAAGTTGGTTGCCATGAGAATGGCTTCCAACAAGTCACGAAATCCGACAAACCAAATGTTGTATATATGCCTACATTCGAATGTTAACTATGAACACCATGAAGTCTCTGGGCATGTTATCTAGGCGTTCATTTGTCCGAATACTCCGAGGACTTAAAGCCTGGTCCATTCTTTGGGTGGTATCAACCTATTTTTGTTTGATCTGTTTGTTTGTATATTCTACATGTGCATCGGATCAACCAATGGATCCTTGACCACGGTGCTGTGTCCCATAAGGTGTCATCTTCATTTATCTCTACATGGACTCCAAGGGGCGAAATGAAGGGAAACCACCCACAAACCAATTTTCTCAAGTAATCCTTCAGGAAATCCGGGAACCCGTTCAACGAGTGCTCACTTCGGACCCAAATTTATTTCATCGAACTTGTGCTTTCGGTCAGGCTTGCCCATGAGTAAGATCCACACCCGTGAGGCTCCGAAACTGTTTCTTCCTTCCGGCGATGGCCTCTGAAGGCTCTTTTAATCTGAGCTGTACTCTAGGGGTTGGACACGTTTGGACCGCTTGATATATATATATATATGGACTAAGAATGAAAAACAACATAATAAACAAACAAAACGGAGAGTTTCCCTTCCTAAGCAATTCAAACATGTCCATTGCCCCGAGACCTCTATGTATTTTTAAATAGATACTTCGCGCTGATCGTGCCTCTTTGCCTAGCTTGCTGGCGGGGCTTGATTTACAAATTTGCCCAAAAGACGTGAAGAACGGTTGGCTTTAGATTTACGCGAGCTTCGCTCTCGCGAGGGTTCTGGCACTGCTTCTTGAAACCAAAGGTGGCAGGAAACTGCTACGAAGACATGAGGTGAAATTGAACTCTGCACCATAAGTAAGACTTGCCTAAATAGAAACCGAGGAGTTACGCCAGAGGATACCTATTGCCCCTCTCTCTTATTCAATCAACTGCCGCATGGGAGTCACGAGAATCATCCCATCAAACACTCAATTCAAACAACGCTTACCTGGCTGTCAAAACGTAAAAACATTACAATCTATGAGCATGCTACCAACCATCTCAGCGATGATCAAACAGTATATACATAATGAGACACAACAACTTAATGTGGAACATACGCAGGGTCTCAGTGGAGATGTGCAGTATACGAGGCGGCCCTTCATCTAACATCTAAATTGCAACCTCTGAGTTCATCACATTTGGGGATGCAGTGAAAACGGGGTCTACCTAGCGAGTTGGACCCCATGTTGTGAAGTTAGACATATCTGAGTAAGCACTTTTTTGGACGCTGGCCATCTGTTTGTGACAAAACAAACTGATCAAAAGGACACCTGTGTGAGTGAGCCGTTCCCCCCACGGCCAACAGGGTTCTTTCGCGCTCTTGGCCGAATCCTTATGCGACCTTTGAGCCATTTGTTCCACCGGGTCTGTTAAAGTGACACCCTCCAAGTTACCCATGGCAGTGAACAGGAACCCGAAACAATAACTATTTGAAAAGGAATCCAGTGGACCCAGGTAAGCCATCTTCCTTTAAATGTTGGGTACCCCTTGCCTACCCGCCATGTTAAGAAAACAAACCACTAGGCTGAGGGGCGGGCAGCACTACGTCCGACTCTGGACTAAAAAGCTCCAAAGGCCCCCGTGAAGGGCACCTCAGAGCGCAAGCAATGTCTTATCGCAATCGAAAAAGTTCGCGGATTGCGGCCTGGATCCCCATGAATCCGAGCCGAATCACTAAGTGTGTCGACTGGCAAAAGCGGGCCTCAAAAGGAACTGGTAATCCTCTCAACGTCTTTCATCGAGCATGGCTGCATTCACTTGGTAGGCACAGGCAATTAGCTGCCAGCTTTCGGCTCAAGTTCATGCGTGCCTCACTTGAGCTCATACTCTACGGCGGAAATGTCGTTCTTGAGGTTGACGTCGAACTTCCTAAGCTGTCAAGCCTACATATGGGTTTAAACTCCAAGAAAGACAACTGCCGTCAACCTGGGGCGGACTGAAATCCATGTACTCTGGGCAAGTTAAGATTCACAAGCAGGGATCTAACCGCGCCAAGCCAAAGGTTGCCCACTTGCCAGGCTCAAAAGTGAACTACTTGGATTGCGACTGAAGGCAACAGGTAAACAAAAGTCAGACATAAACCAGTTGCTAGTAGACCCCGCCACAATATGCAGTTAAAGTCTGATCAATACGCAGAATCTTGGAAGACAGCTTTGCTTTGCGAGGCGGAAAACATGGGGTTGATACTAGAAGGAAGTTGTCTCGTGAGGTGTCCTTTGCCAATGCTTCTTGATTGCGGTCGCTGGATCACTGCACCTTGGAACGGGCAGCAATTCACAAACGGCACCTTGGGCAAAGGCCGGCCTTGTGCCAAATGTGCGGCATGACTCTGCACCGTTTGGGTGATTCGTTTGAAGTCCAACCCACCACGATCATACAATTCCAACCTCCCTGCCCCCATTTTTGCACAACCAGGTCTTCTGTGGAAGGCGGAAGCTTCCGAGGGAAGGGGAATCAAATCCTATATGAAGGTGTCAGACGAATCCCAAAAAATAATACTTGAACCTGGTTTGAGGGTTCCGCTATTTTGAGACAAACCAAACCGCATGTGACGCATGGATCAAGGTCAAGGCTCGTGTCCTCCGCCTGCGACACCTTGCCCCACTTGTCCACCTCCAATCGGATGTAGCCGCCTCGGCGGCTAAGGCAAAAAACGGGGAAACGCCGGCAAAAACGGGAAAGATGCGAAGCAGGAATTCCTACTTCCCCAGTGGACTGGTGTGCTTTTGTTTCCAAAAGGTGCCCCAAACAATATGGGAAGTAAGCAGAAACTTGGAAAGTGAGACTATGCTATTCAAAGAGACTTCTACCCATCAGGGAGTTCGGCTTGAAGACAGCACAAAGAAAAAAGGCGCCCGGGATCATTTGCAGCCTCAGCTCAAAAGCCGCGGAACTTCCATCTTAGGTACCCAAGGGAACCGCCCAAACATAGGGAAGGTGGCCTGGGATCTATTAGTTTCATTTCTGGCTGTCAGCTCCTACAGTCCCTGAACTTGGAGGTTTGCCTTTGGGTTTCCTTAACAAGGGATATGAAGCGCCGTTTGTCAGATTGGAACAGGGGGTTGCGAACATCTCCATAGACAAAGGCGGATATGTCGGAGCCCACTATGTCTTCACAAATCGATTTTCCAATGCTTACCAAAGAATGTCTCTGAGGTTCCAGGTTCCAAATCAACAGCAGTTTTCACAGGGTGTCCTCCATCCCAAGTCCCAGTCGTCCAACAGAATGCCATGAGCTGTCGAGCTCCCAGGCCTCCATTGACTGGAAGATTCAAGCCACGAATGGATAGGAGATGCACAGTTTTAAGTACGGAACCTACCCATGTCAAAGAGATTCTTCCGAATAGCACGGCCTTCTTGATGAATTTGCAAGCATTACCTCAGCTTTTCGAATTGCTTTTTGATATTGGCCCAGGTGCAAACAGAAACATGGGTCATGAACACTTGCGCAAGCTCATATGGAAGCAGAACAACCACAGGCTGCATTGGAGCCTGGTGTCATAGCACCTCTGATTGGAGATTCGTGTTGTTGCTTCCCGAAACAGGGTAGGACCCGCTTGCATCATTCAGAAATCCTGGTAATTAACCATCAGAAAGGGTCTAGAACTTTCGGAAATTAACATCCCCGTCCCACGGACAAGCAGCCAACAACAATAAGGTGATAAGAAGGCCCAAAGCAAAGAAAGGAATGCACAGCACAAAAAGCGTTCCGACCCTTTTAGAATGTGCAACCAAAGCTGCTACGTTTTGATGGCTCCCTTCAAAAACCGAGGCTCCGTTCAATGTCCAAATGATGAGAGGTGGCCCAACGGACGGCAGACCGAATCCTCCTAACCCAACAAATGCTGAGACTATGCATGAAACAGCAAACTGCCCCTTTCGGGCCTCTGAAAACAACAGAAGCACAAAGCTCAAGGCACGTAACAAAACACATGTGAAGACCGAAGGCGGGTGCTCAATGGGTCAAAATTCCAAGCCCGCAGCCCCAGTGAACATCAACCAATGCAACCACTAGAATCACTAGACATAGGAATCCCAAAATTGGGTGGTAAATTCACCCATCACCCACCCCAAAATGGGATCCCAAAACGGTCTTCACAACCACCGCCAAATCTGTTCCGAGGAAAGGCCCCTTTTAGCCCTCCAAGTCCCAAGCTTCCTGGAGCCCTGAAGTTCTGAGAGCTCTGGACTGGGGAGCTACAGACCATAGCCTGTTTGGGGAAAAAGAGGAAACCACCTCAACACCTTCAGGTGCACACGTTTAAAAGAGCGAGAATCAGACCAGAATACCAACAGTGAGCTCCTGGATCTGACTTTCGAGTTCCATGCCTTGAAACAGTTGCAAGTCACCTCTCAGGAAATATTCCGTCTAACAGGACTTTGCCACTCTCGACCAGGCCAAGGGTGCGCAATCCAAAATGTCAACCCTGGCTTGATAAGGTAGACAGACAGCAAGTCTTCAACACAACCAATAGCAATCGAAGAGTCATGAACATCATGAACCGATGGCTGATGCATAGGGTGCTGGAAGTTGTTGGGACAACCAATTGAAACAAGACATCGGAATAACAAGCATGAAAATCAGGTTGGCAATTTGGCATACATGTTTTTGAGTGTTCATAGTAAACCTTCTCGAACATGGGGGTTGGTGAACAGTTTTCCTGGGTATCTTCCCGAGCCTCAAAGGACAATCATACCCACATGCCCCATGGGCCGCATGATCAGAACTCCACAAAACATGGGCCGGTCGTGCCCCGTTTGTCCTGTTAGTGCCTGTCACCCACATCCCCCGGGTTTGACCCGTAACGAATGGTTGGCTCCATTTTGATGACAAAACTTCTTAGGTAAACAATGCTGGATATATTACCCCCATTGTCCCATTGTTCTCAAGGTGCTTTGAATCCCGAAACGGTTCACCGGCTCGGCCCAACTCGCTTCGAAGCGGCCCTTCATTCGGCTTCTTCCGTTCTGAACTCGGATGTAGCCGCCCACCTTGCGGATCGATGCGCAAGCACGAGTGGCCCTAGACGTCAAACGTCCCTAGTGGTCAAGCTACCTTGGCTGAAACCAACTCCCATGCTCACCAGTTACATTCGGTAAGGGGCCCTCTGGGCTTCAAAAAAACTCGTGCGGCTCTTGGCCATACCTAGACCCCTCGGAAGCCTCATCAGAAAGCCAGTGGAAGAAACCGAAAGCTTCCTTGGCCGGAAAGACCATCATGGTGAAGTTGAAGGGTTTCGGTTGCCAGTACTCAGAAACACCATGGGCGTCCGAGTGGTCCAAGGGGTCAAACCCAGCTGCCCCGACATGGGTATGTGGTTCTTGAGGGTGCCTTTTCAGGTCGGTCTTCAGGGAAACGAAAGGGCAGCCTTCATTTTGGGGGGGTCCCCCCTAGTTTGAGACAAACACAACTGGTGACGTGATGCCGGTTGGATAAACTTTCTAAACAAAGTGAAACACAGCGAAAGTCCAAGTAACCATGTTCGGTTCATCCCAACCAGTATGCTCCCCCAACCAGTGAGTGCACCCCAGCCTATATGTTCACCTGTCCTGGTATGTCAGGCCAAAAAGCCGCTTTTGCCACCGGCCTCTTTGGACAAACACAACGAAGAAGCAAAGCACAGCGGAGCTTTAGTTCCGCTAGCTCTGGGGAAGGCACTTGGCCGCTGAAAGGCAGTGGACGCCAGGGGCCTGTCCTACTAGAAGCACACGTGGAATCAGAAATCAAAGGGGTTGTGTCAGGCAAAAGGGTATACTGTAAAAGGGGATGCTTGAAACCTTGGAAGCCACCAAGTGATGCTTGAAGTCTAACCTGGCCGAAAAAGTGACATCTACGCACTTCCGTGGCCGAAATATAGGGAACCCTTCTTGCGTCTCCAATTTTAGTGGTTGCAATCCGAACCTTTCAAGAGAAAAGGAACACGGGGACTCCGAATCCACTGAACAACTTGGCGTGTGGCAACATGTGCCTCCATTAAGAAAGGAAAACAACAACAGCCGTCCTTAAGTCTGCACCAAATTAAGACACGCCCCAGGAACAGACGAGACGAGATGGACGCCCGTGGCCTCACAAGGAAGGAACTGGTGCGGCGTGAGGTGCAGCGTGACAGTGCCCGTGTCCTCGGCAGAAGTCGCCCGAGACGAGCGCTGGTCCCTCGCGCAAAAAGAAGAAAGCGACCACGATTGGTAGAAACCCACCTACCATGTCCTTACAGACCGCCCTGGTAGCTCCTGAACCGCTCCCTCTTTAAACGCAAAATTTGGATCCCCACAGCGGCTCAGCTCCCTTCCAACCAACCGGCTAGCCACAATCGAGCCTCGTTCTGTTTGACCTTAGGTGGTCTGCCGAGGTTGCAACACCCTGTCTTCTCTTCTCTCGTTTGGCTTCAAGTCCATTGCGATTTAACCTGCGCGGGTCTGTGACCCCGTGCACGAGGGCCTAAGTCTTTGCTGGCTTTCAAACGGTCGAGGGTCAGACCAAAGAGCAAAGCAACCATGGGTAAAATGGGCTGAAGACGAGCAAACCGCAGCATGATCAATGCAAGATCCGAAGTGGTTGCAACAGGTTGAACCGTCCCTTTCTTCAAGATTCTCCAGTGGGGAGATTACATGGTTCCGTGGGTCGTTCTCACGCATAGAGCTTGGGCAACTGGCCGGACACTTGTCATCAGCTATCAAACAATATGTCTTTCATGCTCTGCCCAAATGCAACGCGCTTGGTTAAGGCACCAATCACCAAGGTTGAGCCATTCAGTAGGGCTGGAAATTGCGGCCAGTTCTGCCACTTCGTACTACGCCGCAATGCAAATCAAAGGCATCCTCAGAAAAGGTATTGATTCCCGTGATGCAGCGCTCCGGGCAAATCCGAAGTTGACATGTACCAATAGAAGCCCCCCGAAAGACTGATTGCCTATATGCGAGGTTCCCGAAAAGTATCACAGCAGCCGGAAACTTCATGTTCAAAACCCAGCTCTTAAGATCAGAACTGTGCAAAATAGAGGCATGACAGGGCGGAATTTGCACCTGCAATCTGCTAGTTTCCGCAGGGCTGCTGGCAAAACGGGAACTTGTTCGATCCCCTTGAAATGCAGACCCGCCTTAGCTCTGCAACCTCCATGCCCCCTTGCACCCTATCCGGCAAGCACAAGAAATGCCACTCGAATGCCCAAACAGCCCAAAACGCACCACGAGGCTCTGATTGCCGTGCAAAATAAACCCTTTCCTTTCTAGGCAGTGGTTTCGAGAACCACGGAGCAAAGAACACCCTTTTTAGTTGATGGGAAAGCCATTGGAAAAAAAGTGTCCAGTGTCTTTCAGAAGATTCAACTGGGTCGCACTGAAAACACGGAAACAGATCCGAGTGGGGGTAGCGGTTCAGAAATAAGATTTCAACCCCAGACTTCCTAGGACTCTGAAGGAGTTCCACAGACCCCAAGCAGAGATATGACAAGCTTTATTTAGAACTTGTTTGCCCCTCATCTACCTGTTTCCTCGTTGCGGTTCATCCTTTCGGTGTATGGTCTATGGTACCTGTGAGTGACTTCATGGGACCCAGTGTGGGGGAAACCAAAGGAAAGTCCTTTGGGAAACTGTGGCAATCTGCAATCCAAACCTCTGAAACCTATTCCTATGCGAGAAATCCAGAGGTCCATCTGCTTGGGATAAACCCGGAGGATGGATCATATTCCAAATTCCAAAGAAAAGCCACGGACTTAAAGTAGTTCCCACTCTGAGGGGAATCATCCCTGTCTGATTAGCACATGTCCTACCGCCTAAGCTCCTTTTGGAATTGAAGTAAAACCAAAAGAAGAGTCTCTTTAAAAAACAAAGCCCATTAAAGCGGCAAATGGTCACTTCATCGAACTCTATGACAAGGCCCTTTCTGTTGAAAAAAAACACATGGGCTTCTCTCTAGGGCACCCTGGCTTGTTTACAATTGTTCCCAAGCCCCAAAAAGCCGTCAAGCAAGAACCCCGCCAAAAATCACCAATACTCTGGCATGTGAGCAATGTCCTCCACAGAACTTACAAAACAGAACACCAACAGAAAGAAACCCAAACGAACCAGCCTCCATAAGGACCCCCCATACAGTCCAATCCCTCAGTCGCTGTCACGCGGCGTCTCCGCACACCACGTCGTGCCAATCCTGGTGGCTTTTGACCTCCTCTGGCAGCCTCGAGACGAAACGAGCATGGGGCCGCAAGTCAGCGGTGCCTTCCCCAACCCTTGGGATGTTTTTTTTTTTTGCTGAATGAGCAAAATCACGAGCAAAATCAGGAAACTATTGATTAAACCCGTGGGATGAGGGTTTTCTTTAATTCGAGCAAATCAATAGATACGTCCACGTGCAGGGAACTCAGCAAGCAAACAAAGGGAACAAATGAGGCGTGGCGCGAAAATGTGCTCTGCCGACATGTCAACAGCTGCAGAACCGGCTTGTGACAACGCAAGCAACACCAACAGAACGTGAGCGCCATGCAAGCTGAATACTTGAGAACTGAAATCAAGTCCCTCGACCGAGACTCTACGTAGCTTCTTCCGTGTTGAATAGTGCCAGTGCGCTCGTGTCTATCGTTCGTTTCGACTCACCGTCTCTCTGTAAGCTTTATCTGTGCCACCTCTCTGCGCTTCTCTGAGCAAGTTCTTCAAGCAAGTAAGTTCTCAGCGCAAGTTTCTCTGCAGTTCAACGTGCAAGTTTATCTGCGCACGCCGCATTCATGTTGAAACCAGTCTTCTGAGTTGCAAGCGGGGGCTGCCGAGTTGAGCTCCGCGTGCGACTTTTTTGCGGGGAGCTGCGAGAATGCACTCTGCATAATACGCGTGTGCATACATGTGCTAGCGAGCGGAGATCTTTGGGACACCTGCCAGCGGAGCAAGGGGGTTTAAGCCAGACCTGCCGAGCCAGAGCCAGAAAAGTAGCCACGCATACCACGACACAAAATGCCAAAGACATGTCTGCCCACCGCAAGAAAGTTGCAACACACTCAAGTTTTTGCACTTTCAACCTGCCCAATGCCTGCAAAACAACACTGCACGAATTCTGCGTGCAGTTTCTCTGTGATGCAATGTCTCTTGTGCAAAATACGGGTGCAACTTCTCTTGTGCAGCTGCTCTGTTTCAAGATCTCTTGTGCAAGTTTTCCGCGCCATGTCCCCTGGTCATTCTACCCGAAGAAGGTTCCAAACAAATCAAATTATCCATCCCCGTTGGTTTCCCATGCGGGAAAATAGGCCTTAAGCACTGTGTGCTATCTAGCACCGAGCCAGAAACATTGTTGTTTGACGACCCCCACCGCAAATGATTGTCCGGAGTCTGTATGACATTCTATAAGTGTATGACTGGTTGGGAAATGGAGCTGCTGCACAAAAAAACATGGGTACATTGGGGCCCAGTTTTGTATGGGCTGCGGTGACTCTGGGTAGTTGAAAAGACACTTGTTGCCGCCTTCTGTTCAGGAGTCCAAACCTGGTCTATAATTGGAACCCCGATCAACTCAGTTGCAACCAGAGGTGCGAATGCTAGGAAAGGAATTCTCATTTGGGCGGTTGATGCCATGATCTATAGGGAATCCACCAAACGAAGAGAAACACTGAGTGCTGCTGAACAAAGTGCTCTCTCTAGCCCTTCAAGGGACGCCTTCTCGTTGATTTTTTTGCTAGGTCTGCTCATTGTTGACCCTTTAGACCATTTTGGCTAGCGAAAAGCGCCCGGTTGCGAGTCTCCGCTCCAAACCTGCCGATCCAAACCTTTTTGGGTCGGATCCCTCCGATTTGTCGCGGTCGGCTACACTGCCTTGCTACTGTGGATGAACGAAATCCTGCACCACCTCAAGAAACCTAAAAATCATTCTTCCCCTGTAAATACCAGCAAACAATGGTTTGTCATGGCTTCTTTGGCGGTGCGAAGTGGATTTTGTCCATCCACAGTATGGCTTGGGGAAAGGACTTGACAGCCGCTTGGAGCTGCCTGGGAACAGCGAAAAGAACCAGGCGAGGTGGGCCAACTCAGCGGGCCTAAGAAGTTGGTCTAGGGCATTGGTCAAATGGGTCGGTCAATCCAAGAGGTGAAGTTGCCTGGGTTTGATGTTGGGTCAACACAGTTCAGGGGTAACAGCTTCCCCAGCAGTGCTCACATTGGTCTGCTTCCAACTGCTTTATTTGCTGGCAGGGATAGCATTCTCCGCGATGTTCCGCGCTTCCCCAGGAACATGAAAACTCACTTCCTGAGTGGGTTGGCAAAAAGGAGAACAACTTGTGCTCGCCACTCAAATGGGTCTCCCCAAAAAGCTGTAAAGTCAAGGAACTCAGGGAGTGAGGAAAACATTGGACATGTCTTGAGCTTCGTACCGAATTTATCAATTTTATTCGGGAACGTGTACGGGCGGACTCGAAGCCTAAGGAAGGGGCGGCCTGGTTGAATCCCAGTGATTCCGTGATTCCATCCAGGCAACTAAGGGACAAAGACCCTTGCCATCTGCAAAAGACAGCGACAAAGGGTTACCTAGTACGGCGCCCACCACTATGTGCGCTTTAGAGTACCACATTCCAGGGTTAGTTGAAAGGGAAGTTGTAAGGTACGCCCGTTTTTGGGGTTTCATATTGCGCAAATGGAATCACTGGCCCATGGGCCGCAAGGCGAGCAGCTTGACCACCTTCAGCTGCAGGTTTACGCCCTTCATCTCCGGCTTCACCTGTGGAAGGTCTCAGGGAATGAGATGCCGCCCCTTCCCCAGTGAATCCGATTGAAAAATATGGATAGTAGGGGAACCCGCTTAAAACCCAAAGGAACATGGATTGAAGGGTTGCCTACAGTGGCTTGCCTGGGATCCACTGAAATCTGCAAAGTACTATTCTTCTGGGCTTCGAGTCTTGACAATTCACCAACTTGAAATCAGCGAACCACTACAAGGACCTCTCATTGGGTAAATTGTTCGTGTTACGCCCCGAATCGGCGAGCAAATTGAAATTTGCGCAGAGCCATCCCTTGCAGTTTCCTTTCAGAGCATGCCTAGTGTGGATGGAGGCATGAATGGGTTCCACACTTTGAACACTGGGATCAAGGACCTACCAAGGGGAGGAGTTGGTACAGTATTACAGTATTTACCAATATTTACCATCTCTTGCAACTCCCTAGGGGATCCCAGGTTCATTCTCACACCGTGTCCAGTTCCCTATTGAGAACCAGCGAAAGCGATCCTCAGTGAGCCGCGGACCAAAAGCAAATCATACACCTTTGGGTTCGTCACTAAAAATGGTCTTCCCCTTCAAAAGCACAAGACATGGTCTTGCCAAACAAGTATTCAGTCCAGAAACTCACTTTGGGAGTACTCTTGAGACCCCCATTTGTAAAGATTGTACATGGAGACCTCAAGGTCACCCCACGAAGAGATACAAAGATCTAAGCAGCCTTCAATGTGTGTCTCTTCTTTGGGTGAACGCTCTTCTGGTAGCCTTGCAGCAAAACATTATGTGGGGGAACCAAGGACAAAACTCGTTTGCAACATACCCGAGATCGGCTGGATCTGGTTGGCTCACTGGGCCAATGGTGTTTCTCTGAAGGGCTTGGCGGGCCAGACTCAGACCGCAAGCGGACAGCGTCTGCAAATGTGCCAAGTGACATGATGTGACATGGCTTACGGGCCATGTGTTGCGTTCTTGGGAGCGTCGGATAGTGGAGCGCCGGGACACATATTATGGTGTTGGACACATGTCATACTCTCCTGCAGATTCAAATGGAAAAAAATCAGATCTACAGGAAAGGAAATTCTGTTTGAGGAGCCCAACAAGTTTGCATGTGAATTTTGAAGGGAGTAATCCAATGAAGTATTTGAACTGATGAGATAGCAGCTCCTGTTGAATTTACCTGAAGCAGGTTTCCCAAAGCAACCAATTGTGCCATTTTAACGACTTGGACGGAAACAAGTAGACACCACACATTCATGAAAGTAACATCTATCAGGTTCCATCTATCAGGTTCCGCTTGAAAAGGGTCCCCGTTGGTCCCGGCTGCTTGCAGGTTGCCAAGAACAACTCACCTGGAAGCGCTTTCGCATTTTCTTGCCCCCCTATTTATCACATCCAGAACCACAAGCACCTCTGGAAAGTCCTGCCTGGTTCACCTTGCTGAACTTTGGCTTCTTCAACACCACCGGCTTGTCCTGCGAAGCCAAAATGGTTCGAAGCCCCACCCATCGCTGTGTTTGAACCCAGTCCAACCGCAGGAAACAAAGCTGAATGTTTGAACCCATGGGACATCTATCCGGAATATCTGTTCGAACCCAGCTTTTCAGAGAAGGATCGCTGGAATCTCTGTTTGGACCGGTCCTTCGAGAAAAAGCCTCGCTGGAATCACTGTTGACCCAACATTGAGCTGGAATCTCTGATTGAACCCCTTCCTGCAATTGGAGCTATAGCCGGAATCCCTGTTTAAGCAGAGCTTTTAAGGGTAAGGCAGCTGGAATTGGAGTCTATGCTTGAACTCACCTTTGACGGGAGAACTACATACGTGGAACCACGTGGTAAACCCACCCGATACAAAAGACACAGCTGGAATCTCTGTCTTGAAGAGCATTTCAGTGGTGTTGTAGCCCACCTTTCAATGGGGAAAAGAGGAACTTAGTTGGAACACGGTTTAAACCCAGCTGTGAAGGGAGAGACAGCTGAAATCTCAATCCTTTAGAGGAAACATAGCCGGGACCTCTGCTTAGACCCACTCTTCAATGGGAAGCATCGTCGGACTCTCTGCTAAAACCGACCATAGGGGAAATATCGCTCCAACACCGTTAACCACAACTGTACTAGGGCCTCAATATTTGGATTGGGGTGGGGTATCTTTTTTACAAATTTGAGCCTTCATAGGACTAGCATGCCAGCAATGATTGTTGTTTGAGGGTCTCTCGATTCAAACAGGGTGGGTTAACATGCAGCGCTCACCTCAGGGCACACAACATACATATTTAAATACCTAGTGTTTACACAAATTCATTGCGGCTTCCCTTCAAGTACTGGCACCTAGCACAAAAACTCCACTCATGCCTCACCCGTGAGCTCATTCGGTCCATGGGCTTCTTCCTTGGATCCCACTTGGCGAGGTTCATGGCCCGCTTCAGCGCGTCCTTCCACCTCTCCTGCCTGAGACGTGTTGGCCGCGGATCTTTCGTGAGGACTGTCCATTTTTTCGGCTTTCCAAGTGCATGGGGAAATTGAGGGGGTGTTGGGTGGGGTAGTCGGAAAAACGGGCTCCCCGGTTTGAGACAAACCTAAGGATATCTATATATATATATATATATTATAGTATATGTATCTTTATACAAATAAAGAGAGAGAGAGAGAGAGTCCTTTCGGAATGAAGGTATGAAAGTTAAGTCATGATCGACCCTTTGATGGCACCATATGGTGTATATATATAGTATATATATATATATAGTATATATATATACATATACGAGCAATTCCATAGTCCACCAGCCATTTGCCGAGTTCAGCCATGAACACATCAAAGCCCAAGAGTTGGAGTCAGGGAGCCTTGGCGACTCTCTTGAGTCGGGCAGCCATGGAGGCTGGACATTGGGTGAGCGGGGGCGTACCTGGGGAAATTTCTAAGACTTCGATGTGTGTCCAAGCACTTCCGGTCAAGCCACGATGGGCAACCTGCAGGAATCTATCAAGCTGTATGACTTTGGTTGCACTGGTCACTGCCATAGTGGCAACTAGGAGCGCTATGTGCGCACACTGGGGCAATCCGTTGATCCCGCGCATCGATTTGGGCTTGTCGGCGTGGCTTACGGACCACTGCGAGCTTCTCATCCAAGGTCTAGAGTCTAAACAATTCCGTTCTCCGCACAAGCAGTGTTCACAGGCAATACCTGCATCTTATTCATGGGTGTCAGGTAACTAGGGCAGCGCGGATTTACAAACGTTGATCTTGAATGCACATGCCCGCATCATCCGTCCTGGACTCGCACGACTCGCGCATCGCTTGGTAAAAACTCGCAGGTTTCCCAAATCAGCCCCAACACCTTTGCTCCTCTTGCCCGGACCTCCCAGTGGACATAGCGAAAAAGGGCACCCCTCTGTTTGTTTGGTTTTCAAGGGAAATGCCCTGAAAGGAAACAGGACCCCACTCGCCCGCTGGGGTCTGGGTTGCCAGTCTTTTACTCTTGGGACCAAAGGATCACAGGTCTTACTGCGGACTGGGTTCGGGACCCACATCCTTCTCAAAGAAACGAACAGCCCCTTTCAAGGCAGCTCATTTGCAGCGGCCACAAGATGGCAATTTATGGCTGGGTTGCACTGAAGCTGCCAACTTTTGCAGGTTGCAAACAATGACTGTTAGCGCAGATGATCTTTAAACCCGCTTTGAGCGCCACAAAAATGGCTGCAACCCTGCGAAAGGTATTCGCCCTGAAAGGGCTGCTCCAGGGACCTTGGGCAGGAATCAATTGGTGAACAGAAGAGACACGTCGAAAGGAACCTCAGAGGAAGTCAGAGAAACCGAAGCGTGATGGTAAATCAACACACACCCACCCACCCACCCACCCACACACACACACCCACACACCCACACACACGCCGAACCATCTTTCTGAATCTTTCTGTGAGGGATGTTTAGGAACATCCGGCCAGGCAAACGAACACTGCACCAAGCGGAAACCCGCAGAGACCATTTAATTTGTCAACCAAATTAACATACTCTGCTGCAATTTATATGAACCTCCTCAAAACCGTGGATCCATGGACAAATCTACCGGCGCCAAAATTTGAGATGGGTGCTACGTTGGGGCTTGCCATGTGATCCCCCTTTGCTTTCAGGTCCTGTGGTTGCATGCCCCCAGAACCAGGATTCCAAGACCAACTAATCTTAGCGGGAAGGACGCATGCGCTTTCCAACAAAGGAAGTGGGCATTCCCCAAACACCAAGTTCCAAAGTAGTCTTCCAACTCGCCATCTTTCAGCCCGGTTCCCTGGTATGGTGGCCCGAAAAGATGTCAGGTGGGATTTCCAGGTGACCAAATCGAGGCCTCCGACCTCGTTTTCCCCGAAACGAGAAGGCCAGCCGCTTCCGATTCGAGTTGCAGGTGCTGGCGCTGGGCATAGGTAGTTTCGGGCTTGAAATGCTCATAGCCCCCAGCCTGGCTGAGAGCCGGGAAACGTCCGAAACACCGCCCCCGTCCGGGAAATCAACAGCATTGCACTGGTAGTTGCACACTAACGGATTTGTTTTTTACGTGACAGTAATTTACGAAACCTTTATAGAGTTCCTCGCAGAGATCTTCCGCGTCCTCTATAGAAATCCTCTCAAGAGCTCTGCCAAAAACACACATATCGTGACCTCCTGCAAAGATCCTCTTGACAAGTGTTGCACAGGACCCAATTTGGAGAGCCTGGCACAGGTTGTTGCGCAGAGGTCTGTTGAAGATGCTGCAAGAAGATCTTACCTGGGGAATTCGTTTGTCCCTGGGTTGTCCCCCCAATGTCCTCCCCAAACCGGCAGTAACTAGACGACCAACACAAATGTCGGTTCACATGACCCCTCAACTTGGATCACATCCCACAAGAACACAGGCGAAAAAAGGCCGCCGGTACTGGCCTGAAGAAAAGGCGACGAACCAGGCATCGAGCAATTGCTCCTTTTCTGATTCCTGCTCGGTAGCTCGTCCCAAACTGGCCCTCGTAACAGTGATCATCTGTTTAGAGCAGCCGACTATGCTACCCACAACAACATGATAGGGAGCCACTAAAAACTGGTGTCCAACCTACAAAACCCGACTACCCAATACCAACGCAGGTACCCTAAACAACTTGGATTGGGGTGTGGGGTATGTCAAACCCGAAAGCAAACAATCAGCACGTGTTAGCTCGTTACATTAGACACGGTGCCAGGCGTATTCCAGGTTCTTGATTTCGAGCGGCTTCGTCTGGGTACCCCAAGGTTGAGCATGCCGCGACCTTGGGTTCAGGAGAATGCTGCGGGGTGGATTCCTGTTCATCTCTTTATTTCCACAATCCCCGTTGCAGCTGGGAAAATGGTTTTGGAAGGTACCCGAGTCCATAGAGTCATGCCTGTTTGTTTGACCTAATTGCTTGACTCCCTTTCCTCACACCGGCGAAAACCACGGGAAGACCAGAGACAATCCAACACACAAATCGAAAGAAACCGAAGGAACACCAAGGAAACCCAACAAAAGAGAAAACGAAAAGGAGACTAATTACAGCAAATCGCAGAAACCAAAGGACAACCCCGAAGGATGCTAAGCCAAACATGTTCTGAAGTGATCATCTTTGAGGGAAGCAGCTCGGAGCTAGTTCCTCGGCGGCTCGCCTTCTGGATCATATCCCGCACCGTCTCCTGCGCTCTCCGAGAATGTTCCGAGAGGTTCGTGTCAAATTGCAGACCCGAAATGGTTCCCAGTGCTTCCAGTTGCCCTTCTAGGCAACCAAAGGAAGCCATCGTGAAAAACCTTGAGGTAATAATATCTGGTTCCCTGCTATACTGCTAGCTGGAATTTTGGTTGGTTTCCTCTTGACTCCTCTTCAAATCAACCCAAACAAGGCCCACTCAACTAGAAAGCAACGGCACTTTGGGCTTGTCTCTTTTGAGGGGTACTCTTTTGGGGGCCCCGTGAACAAAAAACACAGGGTACTTCCAGCATCGGCCCTCCGGGTAATAGGATCGGGAGCCTGAAAGGAATCCATAACGGCAGGCAAGTTGAAGCCAACCTATTTCTTGGGGGGTTCTAATTTGTGCATATTCCCGTAAGAGGCACACATTCTTGCAAAGCTACAAGAGAACCAAGGTTAATTATGGTAAACTGCTTTGTCCACCATGTCCTTGTCCTCCACCGTTTGCTTTTTAAATCCACGTTTGGTTGCGAACATCGGGAGCCCCTCGTAAACCGAAGCCTTTGAACCCTCTACCACAAAACGGGGCATCATGCAAAGCCCCCATAGAAACAGGAGGGTTCTGAATCCAGGACAATATGTGCACCCCCTCTCCCTCGCGCACAACTTTGCTAGCAAGCAACCCTGCCCCGGTTGCTCTTTGAGGCGATCCCGCCAGTTCCAACTTTTAGCTGGACAGGGCTCCCTATATTTCCCTTTAAAACATCACTCCCACCAAGGGACACTAACCTTTCATGGGCCACAAAGGTGATGTTTAAAGCCGCCCCCAACCCGTCGGCCCAACCAGTCAGTTCCCTTTAAGCACCTGAGAGTTGAAGGCATGCCAACGAGAAAGCAACCTGCCAACCAGAAACACAAACAAAAAACGATACAGCAAACACAACCCCCCGAACAACACCCCAGCTAATCCACCCCGTACCAAACAGCCAAACAGCCAAACAGCCAAACAAACAAACAAACAAGCAAACAAACAAAACCAAACCAAACCAAACCAAACCAACAAACAAAAACAACAACAACAAACAAACAACTAATCACACAAACAAACAAACAAACAAACAAACAAACAAACAAACAAACAAACAAACAAACAAACAAACAAACAAACAAACAAACAAACAAACAAACAAACAAACAACCACACACCCAACACAACAAACAAAACAAAATCAAACAAAACAACCCAAACCACAAATTAAATAGCAAACCAGCAACAACAAAACCAAACAAAAGAAACTAGACAAACACCAAGCAATGCAAACAAAACCAACCCCTTCCGGCCACTCCCCGAGCCCCGGCGACTTCGCCTTCTTGTCGTAGAAGCCCACCGACAGCCCCGCCGCCAGGGCCGCGCCCAGCGCGGTGGCCTCCGCCATCTTGGACCTCAGCACCTCCATTCCCAGGAAGTCGGCCTGGAGCTCGGTGGCTCCAAAAAATCCGTCGGTTCGCTTTCGACACCAGTCGGTCGGTCCTCCAGAGAGGCTAGACGGCTAGATGAGGGTACCCGATTTCTTTTTTCCGTGGTCTATTTTAGTAGGGGAAGTCTGCCCAAAAAGAAGGTAAAAAAAGGCACTACTGGTGGACCTGGCAGAGAAACCATCAGACCCTACAGATGACTTGTTTTCGCATCCTTAATTTTCTGTAGGACCTAAAGAAGATCTTGTCTCTTCTGGAGTTTTGTTGCGTTGATAGGGAATCAACAAAAAGCATGAAAGCATGAAAGCACGGCTCCTATTTGGTCTCGCCATCCTTCCATAACGAATCAACAGGGGCTGTGGGAATGATTTGCATCCTTCGAGAAACTACGAGGGGATGGTTAGGGATGTTTCATGCTGTTCCCGACAATTCCCGTCTGAGAACTTCCTAACCCAAGGGTCACGGAGAATCCGGAACCCTTATCCCAGCCCAGAAGGGTCCACGAGCCAATCCGTAGGGAGGTGGGTGGTGCCGGCGACCGAATGATTCGGGCCCTTTTAAAGGGAGTATTTTCGGAAACCCAGGACTAATGTTTCCCGTGAAGAACCCTGCGTGTCTGATTCCATTTACCTGCCTGCCTGGTAAACCCACACCCCAATAAATTGTCGGGTACTCTGCGAGACCTCGTGTTTGCATGCCTTATTCGCCATACCTCGGTTCTTCTCTGGCAACATCGGGTTTAGCGCAAGAACATGCAAGAACCCTTACTGGCTCACTTTTCGCATGCCAAGGAGCACGCATGGTCAGGGTTGAAAGTCAAACAGTGCATGCATGCATGTGTTATGTTCTTAAGTTTTTGTCACACAGCATTGAGCAGACACATCCATCACCAGTCGTCCCTGCGGACGGGGGACTAGCATGGAAAGGCAAACCGGGGCGCCCCTTTTTCTGGCGCCAGCATGGTGGCGAGTTTGGCCAGCGTCTCAGCGGTGGTCCTGCGAGTGCGACAGCCACATCGTTTGAGCTCCTACCTTGCTTGCCGCAGAGATTTTGGTTTGTAGGGTCGCCTCATTTGCCGAGGGAACATGCCGCCCAAAAAGGGGTCAGGCAAAATGAAAGATTGTGACCTCAAAGGTCTCTCCGATCAATGGGATGGAATTTTGGGAGTTCGGGAGCGGCTTCGTTCCGGCAAGCCGCTGTTAGATGATGCGTCTGAGAGGGACCGGTTTGACATCAAAACCAGCGTGGCGAACAAGCTCGTCCTGGAGCCGCTGCTCGCCAGAATCTCCAAGGCCAGCGGTGGCCTGCCAATGGTGGAGCCGCTGAGGGAAGAAGTGCGGGCGTGCTATTTGAAGAATAAGTGTGAGCCAGACCTTGCCTCCGTCCAGGCTCAAGGTTGGATGTTGAGGAGGTTTTCCCACTTCATCAAAACCAAAGCACGGCGGCGAGAATTCAGTACTGATCCTTGTTTGCACAGTCTTCTCTGAACAGGGAGGGAAGCGCCTATTTTTTCCAGGGAGCCTTGGGCGTTAGGTGGTGCCTTCGGGGAAAAACATTAGTTCCATGATTCCTGATCACACACGTGGAGCAAATGCCTTGCCGAGGACCTTGACTTCCAGGGTTTGATTGTGGCTCTGAAGCCGGAGTTGAAGGACATACGTTTTCTGCAAGCAGCTAGTTTAACCCCACACTTCTATTTTGGCAGGAGGAAATCGCTGCTGTCAACGAGGGGCGTGCGAAGGGGGGTTCCGAGCCCACTGCGAAGGCGCAACAAGCACACTTTTCGTATCATGCATGAGTGGTGTTACATTCAAGCATGTAGCGCATAAGGAAAGAGACGGGGGGCAGCTTGACAGGCCAAGCCCGACGACGAAGATGAGGACTCATTCGATGAGTCGGAGGAAGAGTCCGGTGATCACAGCGATGCAAAACTCAAGGCTTCAGGAAACGCCAGCCAGCCCAGCCCCCTCGACCACACCCAAGATCCAGAGACGCCCTGCCTGCCACCAGCGACAACGCCACCTGCCCCCGGATCCAGAGACGAGCCCAACGAAACAGAAAAAGCTGCAGAACCCATGGCGGCGTCAGCGCAAAAAGGTCACTGGTCTTATGTATAGTCAACTGGCAAAGTTTTCGGCTCACCTGATCATATCGTATTAGGCTTGCTGCAACTAAGGTACCAGCGAAGAAGTTGAAAAGAAGAAAGAGTTGCTGCGCCAAGCAAAGGAGAAGCTCACCATGCGCTGTCCTCACACCCCGTACGCAAAACAGTTTTAAAACAGGGCATCTTCTGCGTCGGGGTTGCGTGATGTACACTTGCACCGGTGAGGCTCCGGGCTCGGAAAAAAAGCATCGAAGCCATCCCTTCAGAAGAAAAGGCAGTAGCAGGACCGTTGACCACTTGAGAGGAAACATGCAGGGTTCGCCTATTCGCTGACCACACTTGACACCGGCCAGGACCTGATGAGAAGGTGCTCGTGACCCCGACCAAAGCCGTGGATGCTGCTGAAACGCAACCGCTTGAGTTGAGCGAAGTTTCCACCCCAACTTTCCTTGCGCCCCCGCCAGTTACTTCCTCTGCCTCCCCTGAGTTGTCTGCAGACCAAAGGCGGGCGCAGTACGCAGGGCAGAGGGCTGAAACCAAAACAGCGGATATAGCGATTGTAGTTGATGAAGTGCCTGGGCTTCCTGATGGAAACAAGGACGGCCCCCCGAAAAGCTTTCGAGCCAGTCACATTCAAGAATTGGTTGAATGTGATTGATTGAACTGTTTGAGTTCCAGGAGGGCGGGGGACCTGCACCTGGTTCCGCTGGCCTTCTTACGCGCTGCCAGCAGTTGTCCTTGAAGGACGCCAAGAAGCGGAAGAAGCGCAGCAGCAAGTCCTTCAGCAAGGCGAAGGGCGCCAAGCAGAGCCGTCGCCGGAAGATCCTGAGCTCCCATGCATCATTTGATGATCTCGCAAATGAGAACCTTGATGCGAAAACAGCAAAAAGGAGACGCAAGAACAAAGCAACCGCAGAAGAGGCAGAGCTTGAGGGCGCAAGTCGATTGAAGAAAGCAAAGCCGGCAAAGGAAAGGAAAGCGCCAAAGGCAAAGGCAGAGCCAGCAAAGAAACAGGCGCCCAAAGCAAAGGCAAGGGCAAAGGCAGCATCAAAGGCAACAGCAGCGAAAAGAGGCAATGCAGGCAAAACGGCTGGCAGTAGCAACGCCAAGCGGTCCAAACGCACCAGGCGGACGAACAATCAAGAGACCGATGTGGACGAGAACCACGAACTGTACAGTAAGACTGTCGTTGAAGAGATTCAGAAGTACATGGCCTACTTTAAGGGGGACGAGGTTGTCAACCAGCAAGAAACCAAAAGACTGGTTCGCTACCGCCTGCGACCCCTCTTGAATTGCAGTTTGAACATCTACTGGCCACGCTTGACTTGCGGGGTGAAGTGCCTGAGGGAGGGGAATGACTTTGCCTACTTCGAGTTCCTAACAGAGGGAGTATCCAGCATGAACCAGTTCTTGGTTGCAGTCAAGTGCGCAGAGATCATGGACCCTTGCATCCACTTACGTTTTTAATTAGTTTTTTTGATGCCCCAACATGCCCCAACAAAAAAGCTGTGATGCTGCAAGCTTGCGTTGCAACACCCCCTGCCCAAGCATCTGAGGCTTGGTGGGTCGACCAATTGGGGGAGAGGGGCCAGCTACCAACCGGGAACCTGGCCATGGACCCGGAAGTTGCGAAATCGATCGAGACTCTGCAGGTTAACGGCAGGGTGGTTGCCAACAAGCTGCCGAAGGTTGTCAAGAATGTTGACTAAGCGAATGACAGCGTCTTTTGAATGGTGAGTGCGTTTGCGGGTCACTTCAATGAAGTGGTACACTGGGGTTCACACACTCCCTGACATTTTGCGTGCTGGATGATGGCTTTTTTCGTTTTACCATGTTGAAACGACTACGGAGCAACATGCTTGTGGCCATTTGTTTTCAACCGCTTGTTGTTTTGATACACAGTGTCACAAGGTGCCGATTGCTTGCAGGGGTTGAGCTGGGCCAAAAGTGATTTGCTTAAGAATTCTGATGCCAAATCGCTAGCACTGAAACACTTGGCCGCATTTGCAAGCCACCCCCATCAGCCAGTGCGCGGCTGCCCGCCTCCACTACGTAGTGGCCGAAGTAAATCAGGTCCTGCCGGATCAAATTGTGGTGAAAAAGGGGTGTAGTGACCGCGTTTGCTTTGCGCTTAGTTCAGCTAGCTTTCTGAAAGCATGCGACCTGCCGCATGAGGTGTATGCATGGGCCGACCTCGTCTTGGACTGCGGGGCAATCGCTGGAGCATCCGGATAAAGAGTCCACGTTGGGCCGGCATGTTTAAGAGCCGTTACTTAAGAGCGGTGAGCTGCATGATGAATTGCACTCCTGAAACACGCGTATACGCAAAGAGCTGGCGCATGCTTGTAAGAGCGTTTCAGCCGCTGCCACTTGAGACTGGGCGGCCCTTAGCATCGTACCCGGGTCGCTGCAGCAATGAACCGACTCGATTTGATCATTTGGCGCTTGAAGCAGCTCCATGCCCCGAAGGCCTGGCCAACCCTTACAAGCGCTCAAATCTGAAATGTTTTGACCCTACTCCGTTTCGCCTCAGCCCTTTTTGCAGGAGTTCGTCGCCATCATCCTGATGCTTTTCTGGGTCCAGGGCCAGTTCGACCTAGAGCAGGCTCTGGAATTTACTTTGGGTTGAGGGCTTGCAAGAGTAACCCCAAAATGCGCATTCCCGCCGGGAGGAAGTGGAATGGCTGGAATATTTTGGTGGAACTGCAAATGCAACGAAGGCTATGAGGGCATCCAATCTTCGGTCTGCAAAATTTGATTTGTTGTACAACCCCCACCCTGAGAAACACCACAGATCAAACTTCATGGACTTGTGCTCGTCCAGCGGCTTCTTGTTTCTCGCCTGCATCATGTACAGGCTTTATCAGCTGGTTTGCGCGCGCAACCCATTTG